TGTTCTGCTGTTCGGAAAGTTATTCTCTCAGAAAGGATAACTGAGAGTTAATTAAAAAAAGAAATATTCAGGCAGGAGATAAACGGGCTTTTAGACCTGGATGAGGAAAGAGGTAATTGAGAGATGTGGGAACCAGAAGAGGAGATGAGAGCGGCTCTCAGGACATTATCGGTGTGTGTGTGAGGCCCCTGAGCACCGCTGGAGCTACACACAGCCTGCAGCAACACTTTCACTTAATGATGCTTTCTGAAAAAACGATCAGTTCCATAAAACGTTGATGATAAAAAAAGAAAAAGCAGGAAAAGCTGGTGAGATAAACATGCTAGCTGCATTTAAGGACTTTGAGATTGGAGGTAAAAACACACAGGATCGGAAAAATGTACAGAAAATCCCACCAGTATGAACTCAAAGCTGCTCCAAGAAGATCGGCGTGTGATTTTTCCTGTATTAATGAACATTAGTTTGGATTTTCGCTCATATTCCTCAGCTGCATCACAACTGCATTGTCTCCTCGTTCCTCACAGCATGAGAAAACTTTAACGTCAACATGCCCAAAAACATGAATAATGGAGCGCCGTCACTTTAAGAGTTGAACAGCTCTGAACACATGTCCCATGTCCATAAAAGTTTGTGAGATAACGTCAGAAAAATAATGAAATTGTATCATTTTTTCTGTGCCAGCTCGTAGATTTCTGCCGCCGTCTTTCAGGCGCAGCAGCACCAGCAGCACCAGCAGCAGCAGCAGCAACAGCAGCAGCAGCAGCAACAGCAGTGGCAGCTGCACCAGCAGCAGCAGTGGCAGCTGCACCAGCAGCGGCAGCAGCAGCAGCACCAGCAGCACCAGCGGCAGCAGCAGCAGTGGCAGCTGCACCAGCAGTGGCAGCAGCTGCACCAGCAGCTTTGTTTGAAGCTCTCTGGCTGATTAACGGCCCTGTTTACACGTCTACTGTTGACATATCTCGGCCCTCATCTTTGTCTTTGGATTAATCTCACATATTGCCCATTTAAGGTCATTTGAAAGGCTTTGGCGGCCCGTTGCCATGGAAACTGAGCTGAATCCTTTGATCGCTCGGGCCTCTTTAGGAGGATCGGCGCCATCTGCGAGCTGAAGGAGCAAGTTTGTGATGATTTCTAAGCCTGCCAGAACAATCAGATCACAAACACATAAACACTCATCACTGCACTCCCACAGCCCTATAAGGAGAACACACAGCTCTCAACACACACACACACACACACACACACACACACACACACACACACACACACACACACACACACACACACACACACACACACACACACACACACTCCCTGCTTATTAAGTGTGAAGCCGAATCGGTTCCACCGCTAGACTTTGCCATTAATATTTATGACCTCTACCAAAATATTTCAGCGCTTGTGCGGGGCGATGCATTGCAGCAGACAGACAGAGGAGGAGGTGAGAGAATGACCCAGGTGCGTCTGCGTTGTTCAGCTGAAAGACGAGAAGAGAAAAGAGTCCATGCGGGAGAAAAGCTTCAGACTTTACTGGAGACTGAAATGAACGGATGCAGACGCAGAGAAAGGTCATGGTAACGGATCAAACATGGCCGCCGTTTGATACTTCAGCATTCCTGTTTCAGTTTCTGGTTTTCTGGCGGTCTGATGTAAAAGTTGACACTTCTTTTGTGTATTAACGTCTCTTGTTACCGTCACAGCAGCCGGTAACAGGAGACGTCACTCTGGGGTTTTATTTAGACATGAAAAGACGCTCAGAGACGCCGGAGTGGCTGCAGAGAGCAGTCAGCTGAGAGGTAATCAAATGAAAGCTTAATGTGCTGCATTCTCTCACACACCACATCACTGATGGCCTTTCAGACTCATTTTATTGTTTGAGCCTTAACTAAGGGCCCAGAGTAAATGAAAGTCACATCCGCCTTGTCCCTGCGCTGTGGATCCTTCACTGGATCTCCTGACGCGGTTCAGTCTGCGTGAAGCCTTCAGGCGTTAAGCGGGGACTTTATTCCATTCCTCTTGCCTCACGCGGCTTGAGTGGTGTTAATGAAAGATGGAGGAACGTTCAGGGAGAGCGTTTCGATTAATGCTGAGGGATGACTTCCCTGCCTGTCGTCTAGCAGAAAAGCCTGGAGTTTCCCGACGACGAATTGCCTCATTTGCCAACATTTGGTTTAGGCACAGAAGTTCATTATGCTTAAAAAGATTTTCTTTGAGGAAAAACAAGAGTAACGGCAAAAAAAAAAAAAGAAATACTAGGTGCTTCAGCTCTTTCTCAATTGGTGACCAGTAGTGGATTTTTTTTTCAACTGACCAGAGAGTCAGAAACTAAAAAGCAACTTTTATTTTTAACCAATTAGTGAAAAGTAATTAGTTTATGCTGGTAGCTTTAACCTTTGGTTCTGCTTTCAACATCATTCTTAATGCACATTTTAAAGTATTGCATTAGAAAAGGTTGATGCTAATTTAAAGTAACAGTTTTTACGTTTGTTTCATGCAGTTTTATATCAACATCCCAAGTTTTATGTTTTCCTTTATTTTAAAAGCTATAAATGGAAATAAATTTCTGGTCCTTTAGAAATCAGGACAATTTTTTTATAATGGATATATATATATATATAAATATATACGTCTAGTGACTCTGTCCCATATTTCCACATTTACATCTCTGAAAGAAAAAAGAAGGAAAACGCCTCATTCAGACCCTATTAAGACTTCAGACCCATGAAAAACACTATTAGCTTCTTGACATAATAAAATCCAACCATCAGTGATTAGAGCATAAATCAGGTCACTGCTTTTTCATCTGAGATGAAACAAGCTGCAAGATGCAAATTAAAGCCTCTGATCATTCACAACATGGTAATAGAGGCACAGAAGAGATTCACATGCACAAAGCTTCTGATCAGCAGGCGAAATTCTTTAGAAAAGACTCAGCATGAATTAAAACCAAATTCAATCTGGACACTGAACTTCTGCTGATGTGTTTAAAAATCGGATCTTCAGCCTGCGCTGGATGACGGGAGCTGAGAGAGAAACTTTGCTTCATATTTAAACATTTTTGCTTGAATGTGGAACGGCGTGAAATGTTTGGATTAAAATTTTTATTCCCATCCAAACAGAAGAGCAAGACGAGCTCAACGTCGTCCGACTGCCTGTTACAGCAGCATGATGGTCGGACACTGATGTGGGTCTTCTCTATCACTTTCTAAAGTCTTTTCATTCAGGAAAGCAAACCAGCACCAGCAAGCAAGCAAAAACAGAACAAGGACTTCATATTCAGAGTTCTGATCCGAAAACATCTGTCTGAATGTTTTGATCCAAAAACTTGGTGGAAAGGATTTTGGTTCAAAAATTTATTAACTGATTGTCTTTACAAAACTGTTGCATCATGTAGTTTTTTTTTCATTTATTTATATGAGAAACACAAACTATGCATTTTGTAATTGGTGGATAACTCAAAGTAAAAATAATAATTAATTTAGGCCTTCAGAAGTCTCACACATGCAACCTCTTAAGGGTTTTCACAAATAAAAATAAACTCAGAAAACTTTTGAATTATCATTTATTGATATGAATGTAATTTTTATTGTATTGTTTCTGACTGAATAATTTCTTTGACAATATTTTTTTTTACCAACAAAAACACAAAACAGACAAAGAACACAGATTGTCTCTCCCCACATGGAAGTTAAAGTTAACATAACGCATTTTTAAATAACAGTTTTTAAGCTTTTTAAGTGGATTTAGCCTAATACATATTTATCAATTATTTCTCACCATAAGAATTGATCTTCTGATTAAAAAGGTTAGCTAACATAGACTTTGCTCCATTTGTAGTTATTGATGTGTAATCATCAATATCTGCTTTGTAACCAGGTCAAAGATCAGAATGAAAAACACAGCTGAAAAAAATACAATAAAAGCAAAAAGTTTGAGTTGCTGTTTCACAAAATATGGAGAGCAGCAAAATGAGTAAAAGAAGCATCCAGAAGTGGCCTGTATTTTCTGAAAGCTCAGGCGGTTTTAATGGTGAACTTGTGGTGAACCTACACTGAGCTGCAAAAGTGACAACACAAGATCAGTCAGCTGACACATCCTCAAGCACTCTGCGAAATGAACTTGATCCACACCCACCTTCTGCAGCAGCACATACATAAAACATTGGAAAGATCTGTGCAACGCTTTGCATCTTGATCAGGCATAATAAATTCAAACTAGCTCACTCACAAGAGCAGCGCATGTGAAAGGGAGCAGTGAAACCTGACGAAGGCTGATTGATTCTAGACTGAAGCTGCATGCAGTCGGAGAGCTGGTCACTTCACACCCAACCAAGACCTCACCAAAAACAAAACGGGTAAATCAGCCGGACCTGAAAGGTCTCCATGGAGAGGCAAAGAATCAGAACAAGACAACTTTGTGACATTTCTGGTGTCCATGTTGCAAATGTCTGCTGATGCAGACTCAACCAATTCAAATCTGTTTTAGATACAATTTTGAAATGATGGATATTTTCTGAATTTAGAACCAGTTTGGCAGCGAAACACGAATGTTTATTTTAATTCTAAATGTATTCAGGCAGTACAGTGTAACACAACAGTCACAGCTCAGCTTGTAAAAAAAATACTGCAGGTTTGTGCGACTGCATGAAAGTCTCTCCAGATTGAATTACAGGAGTAACCACAGTTCTTTGGATATGAGAAAGTAATTTATGTAATTTCTTAAAGTGTGACACATAAAACTGGGGAAAATTGCATGTTTAGGTGAACAATGCAACCTTGCACAACTTCCCATCATAAAGTTTGATTAATCTCAGCTTTCTCCATGTGTTAAACCTTCAGATCCTTAATTAGAAGAAGAATGTTACACCATGCATCTCTTTATTTCCATCAGATTTTAAACTTTCATCAACCAACCGACCACAGGCGTAAAAAACTTTATGCAACAAACCTGTGATGACCAGGAAGCCTGATTATGGATCCTGGTGTTCATTGTGAACTTACCGTTGTCCTCCCCCACCACCTCCACATTTCCCATCACCATTACTGGGACACCAACAGCAGAGGCCAACACCCACACGCAGACATTCACCACCTAGAGACAGAACAACACAGCAGCCACAGCGAATCAGAGTTTCCTCAAAGATAACATCTGAAACGCATTCAATGCTTTTAATACAAGTTCCTGGATTCATTCACATCTTGACATTTTGTTCAGGTGGATTTCAGTTTCTTTATAAGCACATCCTCCTTCATCGAACTCGGTCGACTCTTAACATCTGACCAGATGACTGCTGTCACTTCACAGACGTGGAATGAGGTGTGAAGTGTTTGAAAGGGTGAACATCTCACTCTGGAGTCCGTCGGTCTTACCTTGGCCTTGTGCGGCGTCCTCATGTCCAGCGCCTTGACGGGGTGGCAGACGGCCACGTACCTGTCCATACTCATCACCGTCAGAGTGAAGGTGCTGATGAACATGTTGTAGTAGTCGAAAGACACCACGGTCTTACAGAGAGCGTTTCCAAAGGGCCAAAAGCCCAGGAAAACATCGGTGCCCTGGAGACAAATAACAGCACATAAAATTCAGCTTTTGAATTAAAAAAGCACCCAGAAAGATAAATTCATCTTTTAAATTTTATTTGGAATTTCACTGCTTTGCACACTATTGGTAAAATTGGAAGAAGTTTGACAAATCGGTCAGAAGCAAGTTAAAAAAGGTGGACGACTCTGAGGCGCCTCATGAACATTACATGTGGAAAATGTAAAAATGAGTTAGCAGTGTCAAAACGTTTTCCCATGAGGGCCAAAATTGTCAAATTACACTTTTTAAAATTAAAACTGAAAATATTTATTTCTCGATATTTATTGTTTTATCCCTTAGACAATATTTTAATAAAGCAGCGTAATTAAATTCTTGTTGAAAAATAATCAGTAAATTATGGTCGATCCAAAATATAAACAGGTATTAATGTGTTAAATGTTTTTGGGTTTATTCTTTTCTTTTTTGGCAACGAAGCTTTGAGTGTAATCGATAAAATCAGAAACATTGCTAATATATCAAAAAATAGTGAAATGAATAAATGTTTAAGAAGATTTTATTTGTATCTGAAAATCTCAAATAAATCCATTCTTGAAATGTGAATCACACGGAGGGACAAAAGTGGCCGTCAAGCCACAGTTTGGACAACCCTACCCTAAGGTTTTGAAGTTTGGTTATAAAAGCAACAGTGTGGTATAGAAGTTTAGAACGATGCCAAATCACACGCTGCACATTTAACGACAGCATGCTTTAAAAACTAACAGCCTAAATGGGCAGACTGGTTAAATACCAGTAAGTTCTAAACATTTTTCTAAGCTCAAATTAGTCAAGAGAAACATTTATTTCAGGTGGTGCTTAAATAAAATGAAGTATTTTATCGGAGGAGCGCCGACCTCACGGTGCATAAAGTGGATGAAATTTAATGGGCCGTTTTTCAGTCAGACTGACTAAACCTTTCTGACAGCTGAAGCAGCAAATTATGCAAATGAGACGAGTTTTATTTAGAGTTCAGCCAAATGAACATGGACTTTATGTAAACAAAGAGGAGTGGAGAGAATCAAGCTGATGTAAATACGGTGGAAAAGGCCAGGATGCTAACGCTACATGCTGACATTAGCATTATGGCAAGTCATGGTTTTGATTTTAGTCATGACAAAAAAAAAATCTCACATTTTCAAAATATATTTTGCAATTCAGAACATTGCAGGAAGTTTACAATTAAGATGAATTAATTCAGTTTTATAGTTTTTGAGCTGGACTGAGAACTAGTTTTTGTTAGGGATGAACTGGCAAAACAAGCTCATTCCTTGGGTGACATGGAAATGTTACTGAATTTTAAAGTTTGCATATTCACATGTACTTTGGTTTAGGGTTGATAATTAATCTGGTTTATCGTGTGAATCACCTGGAAAGGCAGCGTCGCCAGGGCCAGGGAGTCGGCCAGGGCCAGGTTAAAGATGTAGATGTTAGTGGCTGTTTTCATCTTTGTGTATCTGAGGAAAGACACACAGGAAACACACATAAAAACCCAAAGACTGTCAGGTAAGATCAACATAACGTCATGTTCTGACATCACAGATGTGAATGTGGTTCAACAGAACCGGGACTTTTACAGGAGCCATGCGGGTTTGTCAGATTATCCTGACTTTGAGCTTTTTCTTTTGGATCAACATGACCCGCATTTCTGTTTCCACAATGATTAAAAAAACCCGGTTGCATCTTAGTCACCAAGTCACCATAACAACCACTAGCAGCCATCTACAAGCCAACCACCTGCTTGTGATTCACACCAGGTTTAAATTACTCATTTTTAATGCCACCGATGCAAATGTGAGGAATTGGTTTTTAAAGGACAGTCAGCTGTAAAACAAAGGATAAACGTGGGACCCGCTGTTGGCTGTGATGCTGTCGGTCTGTTTCTCTTCCAACATTTCTGTGACCTTGTTTGGTAGTTTTCATGAATACTTTAGTCTGAAATCTGAAAATAAATCCTCACTGGGTCTTTCAGCAGGAAACAATCAATCAACCTTCCTCCTTGACCATTTAAGTCCCAAAATGGGCGGAGCCTAAGAGAGGAGCGCAAAACAGAAGAAAGGAGGACTTTGGACAAACTAGACAGATTGTGCAAAGGCGAATATTATCTAAAGATCCTTCTTTCTCATAACCTTAACAGAAGTAGAAAGAATAGGACATTCTATTATTTTCTACCAAACATCCCACACTCTGTCCAGTTCTGTCACTCTTCTGTACAATTTGTCTAATGTGTGTTAATGTACCAACAGATGAGGCGCAGTGCGGCGCTGCCACTGTGCGTTCCTCTAAGAGAGTTCTGCTGGAAAAAGTAGGTGAACGAAACAGTTTCCTGCAACTAAAGGCTAGATTTTCCAGAAAACGTTCATGCATCTTCAGTAACCGATGAAAACTTGTAAATGTATCTGAACACCTGGTTGTCTGGGTCATCATGGTTCCCAAAAGGAGCCACGATGGAGCACAACGAAAAAATGTATTTAATGTCCGCACCTCTCAGTCAGAAAACATTAAGCGGTTAAATCTGCTGCACCAATGCCTGCCAAAGAAATTACCTTTGTGGTTAAGATTCTTCCACCAACAATGTGTCTCTCGGAGACGGTGCCCGAATGACTCAGCGGCACAAAGATACTGACGTGGAGAAACATTAAATCTATTATGCAATAACTGCCTTCAGCAGAAATCTGCTGAGATCCAACATCTGCTCTAAAAAAGCTTGACACAAATAAAACACGTCAACCGTCTTCAGCCTCTTCCCAACTTCTTTAGTTCTGTTCAGTTTGGCTTCCAGCTGTTCTTCACACCCGTTTCTCTGGCTTTTCTCTTACTGAACCTCTCACACCGACTTAGGCTCAGGATCTATTCTTGGTTTTCTATGTCTACCCAAAGGCAGATTTTACTCATTACTTTTGAATTTCTTATCTTTATGACACAGATAGAGATCTGTTAAAGCACAGTGTTCTCCCCATCAACCTTTTCTATTTCTTTTTATTCACCGTTTGTCCTTTTTTACATTTTTTCAGTTTTACGTCCATCTTTCATTTCCCCATTCCCTCTTTGTTCATCCGTTTTTTTTAAGGTTTGAATTCCTCACTTTCCTTCTTCTTGAATTCATTTCTCCTCTTTTTGTATTATTAATATTCATTAATCCATGTAAGCTCATACGCTTCTTTTCATTTTCTCCACTCTTTTCCTATAATCCCTTTTCATCGTTTTTTCTCCCCAAGCTTCCAGCTCTTTCTTGTTTTCTCTGCAGCTGCACATTTCTCCCTGCTTTTTTCTGCTGGTTGAGAACTTGCAGGCATCCTCTGTGTCGTCTTAAGAGAATTTCTCAGCCACCCTCCCTTTTTTAAACATAAGGGACGGAGTTTACTCAACCAAAACTTCCATATCTGTTCTTTCTCCCCATCATCCTGATTTTCCTGTGTACTTACAGTTATTCTTGTTTTTTGGTTTATGTTCTTCTCTCTGCCCATATTTTCTGTATTCTTTATGTATCGTTTGCTTAAATTTTCGTTCTTGAATTGAAAACCAAATTGAAAAGCGGCTTGAGAGTAGATTTGGTTTGTAGAGCAAACATGCCAACATTCATTGCTCAGTATGAAAGAAGATCCATCACCATTACTGTTTTAATATCTCCAGTCAATATCTTGGTGTTGCATCACATCACATTACTAATGGAACAGGCTGAAAAGTTTGAAAAATGAGATTTCTTTTCTTTCATAAAATGTTATTTAATAAATATAAACAGAAGTAGTATTTTGACGGCTTTAGGCAGAACGGTTTGCAGTTAGCTGGTTCTGTTAGCTAGTGAGTTCCCCTCACTATTCTCTGCAGGTTTTCTGCAGCTGCGTTTCCAATGCAAACAGGAGCTGCACGTTTCCGCTGACATCTTCCTTAAACATTTTCCTTAAATTTCCTAACATGCTTATATTCCCAGAAAATAAATGATCAATTTAATCTCAAGTGAAATTCAGAGAGAAAAATCCTCAAGTCAATAATGACTAAATCTTTATACAATAGTCAGTTTGAATGAGTTATGCAGTTTGTTATAACTCGACTGTGAGCTTGTTTAATTTAAATCTGAATATCAGCTAAACATCTCACTGTGTTTCTATCTGTCCAGATCCTTTCACACACATTACAGATCGCTCACAGTCCTGATGAACGGCGGCAGTGAGCCGCTCCGCTCAGACCTGTCAGCATTTTCTGCCTGTTTGCAGTTGAGGAATTTCCAAACGAAGCCTGAAACATTTATTGAGCCATTTCTTCTTTAAGCCTCTCGCTCTCCGTCTTCTCCCTCTTTCCAGCTGCATCAGTTCATCCACACTAATATCAATGCAGCTTGAGAGAATGTAAGCAGAAAAAAAACCGATCTGTTTGCCTTTTTTCACTAAGTTGCTTTGCCTAATGTTTAACACACATTTAATCAAATCATAAAAACCTGCATAACTTTGATTTATTTTGTTGCATGACAACAAACTAATGTCTGGTTCACACTTCTTGAAGTCTTATAAAGATTTTTTTTACTGATGCTCATAATGCTAAAAGTGTTTTGAAGCTGAATTGTAGCCTCTAATCCAGACAGGCAGCCAGTTCTTGACTGGTTTGGGATATTCTTGTCTTGGCAGGTGATTTTTTTTTTTTTTTACTTTTCCAGTTTTATCTCCATCCACAGCTCACTGGCTGTTTAATCTCCCTTCATCACTCCTCCATCGCTCCCCGCTTTGTCTCTTTCCAAATGTAACCCTGCCAGCTTTCTCCTTCTCCCTCTTGTTCTCATGTTGCTTCTTCTCTGCGTTCGCGCAGGGAGGGAGGAGGAAAGATGAAAAGGGTCGATCTGATGCCTCTTTAATCCTCCGAGCCGTTCAGATTCAAATATTAATATCGTTTTGAATAATTCACACGTTGCCGGTCTTCACTGTATCAACTTAAATGAGCTGTCACACGCCAGCACAAATTTGTGTGTGTGTTTGTGTTTATCACACCCAGTCAAATTAAAAACAGACTTTTCTCATTTTAATTTTATGAATATTCCTGCTTTATGACTTTTATTCAGGGCCACAGTTTCTCTTCATTGAGGGTGATTAGAAATTTTGGCTAATGATTCAGCTGCAGTTGGAAGAAAGTTTAACGCCAAACGAAATCAGAAATGAAATGAAGTTGATTTTATTTATCGATTAAAAAAACTGGGGCACTTGTAGGTGTTAGTATTTTTCAGCACCGTATGTTTTTGATTCTTTGCAGTTCTGTCACTTTAATTATTGAAATCCATGTAAATATTATAGAAAAATTAATGTTGTTCAAAAAGACAGGAATTGATTGGTAAACAAATATTAGAAAAACTTATTTTGCTTCTTAAAGGTGACTTTAAAGGATAGGTCTATTGTCTGTACAAAATATGTCCATCAATTTTTATTTTTTTTGCACAGATAATGAGATTGTAGTCTGTTCAGTTCTACCTACTTTGACTCCTTTCAGAAGGAGCTGTTTTAGGGCCTCTGTCGCTTTAAGTCCAAATAAGCTGCTGCTGGCCACGCCCCCAACTCACAAGTCAAAAATGACTTCAAACAGATGTGCAATCATACAATCTTACACTTTTGAAAAGCAGAAGTGGAGCCTCCAGCACAAAAAATAAGAACACAACAAATGGTTTCTGGATTGTAAGTCAACAACAAAACACTCGCCTTTTCCAGCAGCCATTGTACGGCGCATACAGCGGCAAAACCAGCTGAACTCAGCGTGGGGAGCCAGGTTAAGCTTTCACATCTAGATTTAACCCAATCCACTCGATATCAAACTATCAAACTACTCTAGACACATTAGTATCAGGGATTCAGTCGCCCTGTAATCTGCACTTTTGTGAATTAAGTTATTTCCTTCAGAGATGATAAATAATTACACTTTAAAACATTCCAGGGTCAAAATATTCTCTCTAAACATTCAAACGTTTCTAGACAATTTCTCAAGGAGGTTCAGCAGTGCAAAAAGCTGAAACATTAATCTGTTTTACTTTAGCTAGAAGGAAGGAGTCTTGGGAAGGCAGTGATCTCCACAGGTAGTTCTCAGTTCTGACAAATTCTTTAGAAACAGAAGTTTTAAAAATAAATCCTATTCTGTCTGCTTTGTCTATCATCCACCAGCTTTCTATGGTTTAATCACTCAATCTCATAAAGACCTTTTCATCTGTCTGCTGCTGCACTGTAAGTCCTTTTATATTCCTGTGTATCTCTGTGGGGAAGAGCTCTTGAATGTAAGCCTTTTTTTGATGGCAATCACATAAACCGACTCGTAGTGGCGGCTGTTGAAAAGGTAGAGCGATAGAGTATTATCTCAGCTCTCCATGGATGACATCCTGGACCCTTTAATAAAGGTCTTTAGTTGTCTGTCTGCAGGTTTAAATCCGCCGCTGTGAAGTCAGAACTAATAGTACTTATAGTGCTATGCTAACATTTTTTTTTTTACA